ACCAATTTAACACGGTCACGATCCTTCATAGCAAGTATCATGGTTGGACCGATTGCTGCGCAGAGCACAACGCCGTAACCACCAATTCTTTTGTGCACACGCTGCAGAAGTTCCAAGTACGGTTTTTTCTTAACGCTGCAGCGGCGCGATGCTAGAAGTGAGAAAGCATCTTTTACTCGCGCTTCTTCTTGAGACTTGAGTCCCATGCGGTTTTCAACTATTTTGGAGGTTTCGATAAGCTTCTCAACAATCTGATCGAAAGATAGCGATTTCTGTGGCATTGCGGAGAAAGTCCTGGAAAACCTCTACTCGACAAGTTGAATGGTAGGTAAGAAGGTAAAGATGACAGCAGATGACGTAGATGGAGGGTGGGGGTGGCGCGGACAAGAACGAAGTGGAGGGAAAAAGAGGTATAAAGAAGGAAATCAAAGCTAGAGGAAGGAAGGAGAAGGACGAAGATATGGAGAAGGGAATGATTCATCGCTTATCGCTTATCGCTTATCGCTTATCGCTTATCGCTTACCTGAGGGCAAAGCATTGAAATGTTTAAATTGGACATGTTCCCAGCTCTTAAGCTGCCTCCAAGAACCCTAGGACCTACAGGCTCGCCGTCTCTCTCTCTTTCTCGCTCTACTTGTACGATGTCTCTTAGTTCCGTGAACGAATCCATACGGGAGATCAGCGACAACTGCTGGGTCATCGGGGGAAAGATCCTCTTAACTCGAGCTGAATCGCCTTTTCGTAATCCTAGCTGGAGCGATGGCAAAGGATCATTCTACAACATTTCGGAAGCTGCATCTCCAGTGCCACCATCTCAGCCACTTTCGGCTACAAGCTGCATCAGGAAAGTCTACGATGCCGGTGGCGTATCAGCCGTATGGGTCGTCGGCGATGCTATTTGCAAAGTCAAGGTCCTAGACCCTCACCCAACGCGAGAACACATCACATTACAGTATCTCCACAATAAACAGCACCTGAGCTTTTCGGTCCCAAAGGTTTACTATCATACCGAATATGACAATCGATACTACATCATACAGAGCAGACTAGGCGGCGACATTCTTAGCAGCGTCTGGTCTACTGCGGATGAGATAACGAAACAACAATATGTCACTAGGGTTGTGGACATCTGTCAAGAACTGGCAATGTGGCATGCTGATAACATTTGTGGTGTTGATGGCGAGCACTTATCAGACCATTTCCTTACGGGGTATGGGCTGCTGAAAGATTGTAGTCCCGCGAATTTACTGAGAAATTGCAAAGAACTGGGAATGGATTGCTCAAAGTTTCATTTCTATCATTGCGATCTGGGTCCCGGAAACATCATCGTGGATACCTCAGACAGTTCGCTCGGGCTCATTGATTGGGAGACGGCTGGCTTTGTTCCTCGGGAATGGATCAGAACTAAGTTCTGTGTTTCAGACGGGCTAAACCTGCCTGTTCATAATCATGATTCGAGAGTAGATTGGAGAAGACGCGTCCAAAGGCGCTTGGATATGGAAGGCTTTCCCGAAATCGCAGACAATTGGATTACTTGATGGAACAACGAGATGTAATTCCTAATTTAAGCTGGCTATGGTATAAGAGCTGTGTATTTCCCATGACGAGCGCAAACTCGTGGCCCTCATCGTTTCTGGACACTAAATTTCGCCTTAAAAGTGACCGACTGGACACTCACTGCGGGGCTTGGCTGCGTACCTCATGTATAAGAGCTGTCTACTCAGTGACAGTTGCGAGCTTCTTGCCACAAGTGCTCCCATCCTTCTTCGTTCCAGTAGAAGTCTCGGATCCTGTGATGTTGTTGTAGCCACACTCGGGACAGTGACGCTGTCGACTGGCTTGTCTGTGATTGAAGCTGCCATTTCTGATTCTATACCTAAGACTGATGGTAGACAGGATATAGATGGATTGATCGATGAGGATGCTGTGTTATCGAACAACTGTCCGGAGTGAAAATGAATGAGTATGAGATGAGACATGTAGAGAGATTTCGGATCTATTTATACTACTCAATGCCTGATGAGCGGCAGCTTTGAGATATTCGCAATCGTTGCCTATCAATAACCAATGGAGTGTTTTCCCTTTTTCTCTTCTTAATTGCTTCTCTTTCCCTATCTCTCTTTTCCCCTCCTTTTCTCCCCTAACCCCTCTCTTTCCCTCTCTTTCCCTCTCTTTCCCTCTCTTTCCCTCTCTTTCCCTCCTACGCTATTGAAAGACAATGTGGGGCGTGTCTTAACTATTGGTCCACACACCTCCCTTTCTTTTCTTTCCTTTTCCCTCTTTGTTCTTCTTTATCCTGCCACATCCCTCTTCGCCCCACCAATAAAAACTTGTACT